AAATTCCGATAATCAAGGATATGATCAATGATCCTTAATGCCAAAATAAAATCGTATATATTATCGCGATATTACAGGGAAAAAAAAAGGAGAAAAAAAAGTAGGGTGAGAAATAAGATCTTAGAGAAAGAAAGTGATGAATAAGAATAAGGAGATAGAAAGAGAAAAGGGTTATATTACCTACGATTTCGCGGCATATCTTCGCCCAGTTACAGAGAGGAGGGGACTTGAGAGTCCTAAAGAAACTGTCCACCGCCATTTGAAAGAGAAGTGTTTTAAGGAAATGACTAGAGAGCCCTCTTAATATTTTGAAAATATCTGGCATATTCTTAAGGGGTCGTTTGGAACCTAAGTTAAACAAAACGTGGTTTTATATAACCACGTTATCCCGCAAAAAAACGCGGTTGGCAACTTTTTGTAACCAAAGAGAGAGGGCCAAAACATAGGTATATAAAACCAAGGGCCAAAACATAGGTATATAAAACCAAGAAAAAAATTGAGTTATTCAAAACATTGTTTTGTGTAATCAAGAAAAAAGGAATACAACTTGTGACAATATTATTTTCATACACCAGAGTAGCTCACTTTATTACATATAATTAATTATGCCAAAATATCTACACAAATTAGATAGAAAAACGACCTCAAATTTTAAACTTTTAAAAAGAAAATTTGCCTCAAAACTATATGAAGTTTCAAGTTTAATTTCAAGTTTTAGATAGAGAAAATATCTTAAATTTTAGAGAGGAAAACCATATCACATTTTAGAGAGATAAATTACATAAAAAATTTAGAGAGAGAATCTTTGTAAAAAGTTTTAGAAAGAGAAATTATATCAAATTATAAAATTTAGATGAATAAAATATCTTAAAATTTTAGAAAGGTAAAATACATCAGAATTCTAGATAGCGAAACTCCTTAATGTTTTAGAAAGAAACTATTTCAAAAATTTTAGAAAGCAGAACCATATCAAATTTGAATTTTTAGAAAAAGAAAATATCTTAAAACTTTAGATAGCAACTAATCAAATTTTAGAGAGATAAATTATCTCAAAATGTTTAGAAAGAAAAAGTATCTCAAATTTTAAGTTTTAGATAGAGAAATTATTTCAAACTTTAGAGAGAGAAACTATATCAACATTTAGAGAGAGAAACTAACCAAAAATTTTAGAGAGAGGAACTATCTTAAATTTCAAGTTTTAGAGAGAAAACAAATACTAAAATTTTAGAGAGAAAAACTATATTATATTTTAGAGAGAGAAACTATCTCAAATTTCAAGTTTTTGAGAGAAAGTATTGTAAAATTTTAGAGAGCGAAACTATATCAAATTTTAGAGAAATAAATTAACTAAAACTTTCTAGAGCGAGAAATATCTGAAAATTTTTAGTGATATAAATTATATCAAATTTCAAGTTTTAAAAAAATTTCAAGTTTTAAAAAAATAAGGTATGTTAAAATTTTAGAGATATAAATTATATCAAATTTTAGATAGAGAGTGAAACTATCTAAAATATTTTAGGGAGAGAAAATATCTCAAAATTTTTAAAAAGAGAAATTATCTTAAATTTCAAGTTTTAGAGAGAGAAAGTATCTTAAAATCTTAGAGAGAGAAAATACCTAAATTTTTAAGGGAAAGGTTTCTATACTTCTCTTACAGCATAGAAAACCTATGCTTCCTCTACATCATAGAAGATATATGCGTCCTCTACCATCCAGCCATCCAATTTTGATCAAGAGAGCTACTCACTGTTTGATCTTAGATCTGATATCTTAAAGTATTTTATTTTTAGTTTTTTTAAACAAATTTTACTAATATGAACTTTGGTACATGCTATCTTCTCATTGGGGTGAACCTATAAAAAATACTAAAAATAAATTTTCGATAAAATATAATGACCACAATACCTCTTGAAATTTTTAGGGCTATTTTGGTCATTTTATGTTATTGAAATTTTTTTTTATATTTTTCTTTAATGCGAGTTTACTAGAGAATTGGACGCACAAATTTTGGTGTCAAAATAGTTTATAGAAAAATAAATAAAAATAAAATAGTTTAGAGATGTAATATTGTGATTGGGGCAATCTTAGCCTCCATTCATAATGGACGGTTGGATAAGGGAAGTATATAAGTTTTATATTGTAGGGGAAGCATAGAAAGCTTGTCCAATTTTTAGAGAGCCAAACTATCTCAAAATTTTTAAAAAGAACTTATCTCAAATTTTAAGCTTTTGAGAGAGAGAGTATCTTAAAAAATTTAGAGAGAAAAAATATATCAACTTTTAGAGAGAGAAACCACCTAAATTTTTTTTAGAGAGAAACATTATATCAAATTTTAAGCTTTAGAGAGAAACTATATCAAATTTTAAGTTTTAAACTACTTCAAAATTTAGAGAGAAAAATAACCTGAAACTTTTTAGAGAGAGAACTATCTCAAAAAATTTAGAGAGATAAATTATATCAAAATTCAAGTTTTAGAGAGAGTATCTTAAAACTTTAGAGAGTGAAACTATATCAACTTTTAGAGAGAAAAAATATTTAAAAAATTTAGATAGAGAAACTATCTCAAATATTTAAGAGAAATTTTCTCAAATTTTAAGTTTTAGAGAAGGAAAGTATTTTAAAGTTTAGTAAGAGATACTATATCAAATTTTAGATAGAGAAACCACCTGAAAAAATTTTCAGATTGAAACTATCTCAAAACTTTTTGAGAGAAATTTTCAACTATCTGACATTTCAAATTTTTAGAGAGATAAACTATCTCAAAATATATGAAGATAAACTATATCAAATTTAAAGTTCAAGACAATTTTCTCTCTAAAACGTTGAGATAGTTTCACTCTCTAAAAAATTTTAGGTAGTTTTTCTCTCTAAAATTTTGATAAAATTTTTTATAATGGGAAATTTTTTTATATGTATTGTTGCATGCCAATTATGTGTAATGTAATTTTCACATGAAAATATTTTGTACGAAAATATTTCAAACCTACCGAATGTGTCCTAATTAGTGTAAACCCAAGTTAGGCAAATAGATGACCCAAACGGAGGGATTTTGCATAACCTGGGTATTATCTACAGGCTATTCAAATAGTCATTTCTCAATAACTAGGTTTTGGCATAACTTGCATAAACATTTATGATCCAAATCATGGTTTTGTTTACCCTAGGATCCAAACGATGAGGCTTCTGTAAGGCCTAGGCTTTTTGAAAACAAGATAAAAGCTTGACTTCAAATCCTTGTTTAGAAAGCACTTTTGGCAATATAAATCTATATGACGCTCTGCAATCAATTTCCAACACCAATAATAAAATTTGAAACTCAAAAAATAGTATCGATATTGTTGTTCGTTGAACACTTATTTTTAGGACAAAATGGATAGTTAAGATAATTTATTACAATATACAACATTTTTAGAACTTGCAATCCTAATTTTTTCATAATTATAATATTTAAGTCGAGATGATCAATGTAAAAGATTTTCAATGTTTGAATTACATTATTTGATAAGTTATGAAGTGAGGCTTTACTTATTTTGATAGGGTTCGAGGGCGTATCAAGCTATTTTCCTTTTTAGCTCAAGTGGGTCTTTTTTTATCCGTGTAATTGTTTACTTAACACAATCACGGGAAATATCATTTCAGGAAAGTTTATATAAGTATGAGGCTCTAAACAATCAAATTAGAGCACACTTCAAAAGTTTCACTAGAAGAGGTTATTTTGATGTCCAAATAGCCTCAAATTGATCATCTCGACATCACGATGTATAAACATAGAAAAAAATATACTTCAAGTTTTGGAAATAGTGCATCTTGTAATGTATTTTTGGACCATCAATTTTCAATATTTTCAAGTTTTCATATATCTGCTTGATCTACACTATTTTTGAAGTTTGAAATTTTATAATTAGAAATGAAAATATATTTTAAATCTACCACAGAGATTTCAATATTGAAACCACATTTCTTGATACTATTTGAAAGTGAACTTTACTTTGATTGTTTAGAGCCTCGGCTCTATACAAACCTCACCCATCATTTTTACACTTACTACCAGAACGAAAAACTTTACATATAATGTTACCGTTCATGACTAATTTGTAGAGTTTTTATTTTTCCAAAATGACCTTACTTGGATATTGATAATTTGAAGTTTTCAACCTAATTTTCTTTTTATAATATTTTTGCCTCTTTTATGCCCGAGACATTTAAAATCTTCAAATTCTCAAAAAGCTTTTACTCGACAAAAATAATAGGCGTCTATAAATTTTTACTCAAAATAATTAAAAAGGAAATTTTATATTATCAAAATCTCAAGTTTTTACTTGACAAGGAAAAAATAAGGCCCATCAAACGTCGGATTTTAAAAGCTGAAGTTGTTATTGGAATTTTTTTTATAGCAGCAAAAAAAACTTTGGATTTTGAAAATCTAAAGTCGTTTCTACATTGTTCTACAAATAAACTTTAGATTTTGAAAATATGAAGTTGTTTCTACATTGCTCTACAATAGAGAAACTTCGGATTGAAAACTTCGGAAAATCTGAAGTTTTCAATTGACAAAAAGCCAAAACAAAATGGGTACTCTTAAGGCCGGTTTGGATAGGAGGAAATTAGGAATATTAGATATTTGAAATCCAATGAAATCTATAGATTTTCAATATTAAAGATTTTTGTCATGGATTCCTCAAATCTCTTGTTTGGATAAACTATACAGAACTTCTCTTTCTAAAATTTTAATATACTATCTCTCTAAAATTTAAAATTTGAAAGTGTTCCCCTCTTCAATAATTTTGAGATAGTTTCTCTCTCTAAATATTTTTAAATAGTTTCACTCTCTCAAATATAATATAGTTGTTCTCGCAAATTTGAAGATACTTTCTCTTTCTAAAAGCTAAAATTTGATATAATTTCTCTCTCAAAATTTTCCGATAGTTTCTTTCTCTAAAAAATTTTATGTACTTTCACTTTCTAAAATTTGATATAGTTACTCTTTTAAATTTTAAGATGTTTTCTCTCTCTAAAACTTCAAGTTTGAGAAAGTTTCTCGATCTAATATTTTGAAATAGTTTCTTTATTTAAAATTTGATATAGTGTCTCTCTAGCATTTGATATACTTTCTCTCCCTAAAACTTAAATTTTGATATAGTTTCTCTCTCTAAATCTTAAATTTTGAGATTGTTTCTCTCTCTACAAATTTCAATTACTTTCTCTATCTAAAATTTGATATAGTTTATCTCTCCAAAATTTTAAGATACTTTCTCTCTC